CTGTATGTTTACTCAAACTCCAGGGGCCATCTCTCTCAGGGACGATGTCTTCGCTTTCCTCTTGAGTGACCAATGGGTCCTGGATGCTCTGGCTGGCAGCTTCTGAGTCTGAGAAGGCTCTATCCTGTGGTTCAAGAAACAGGGTCTCATTTCTTAGTGAGCCACAGTTCCCTCAACCACTCCAGGCCTGAAGACTATGAGCACACTGTACCAGTTGCTTTTGGTGTAGTCTGGCAGGTGAAGGGTTATTCCTTCAGAAATAGGCAATGCCAGGGGAATTCTCTGCAGGAAACATGGGGTAATTCCAATTTGGTTATCAAGTATTTGTGTTCATTGACCACCATGCAAGAAGCTGTTTTCTCGTTTTGACTCACTTGCCAGGGTAGTATAGACATTTGCATTTGTGAGCCTTATTTTAGGACTGTGGATATTCAGAGTGGGTGTGGTATACCGGTGAGTACTGAAAACAATTAGTATACCAAAAGGAAAGGAAGAATTGTGGGAATTGGGTGCAACGGTGCAACCTGTAACCCCGGGTATCTAGGCATTTGGGAAGTGCGCTAGAAGGATCTCCTTATGTGACAGTGTTTTCAGAAGTGGGAAGGAAAGTCTGCAAAATTCAGATCCCTTGCTCAATCGGACGTCAGGTGGTGACTCCCCAAGGTCACCCAGGATGCCAGCTTCCAGAATAACGTCCTGCTTATCCACCGGAAGCAAGCACTCACTCTTTTCACAAGTTTACTTTTTATCCCTGTCCTCCTAGGCCACGTGGGCCACGGTGCTCTTAACCTTGGCGCCGGCCCATGTCTGTCTGCCAGCCTTCTTCTTGCACCCCACTTTCTACAGACCCAGACCTGGAAGAGCCTGTCACAGCATCAAAGAGGGGGCAGGTTGTAACTTGTGTCTCGTCTTGCCTCCCATGACCCCACCAAGCTTGGATGGTGAGCTGGGTGGAGTCTATGTATTTTGCCTTTTATACATTTGGTTAAGGAAGCTTGGAGGTCCGGCCTAAGGTCATCCAGCTTGTGTATCTTCTAATATAGAATTCAAGTCCCTCCTCCTACGGTAGGGCTAGGCTAGAACTTAATCCCAGGAGGTGCTTCCCTCCATCCCCAGGGCCCAAAGGGGGTTACTCCTCCCCCCGCCCCCCTCGGAGGGACCACTTACCCCAGCCAGCAGCAGCAGCAGGAGGATCAGCGGGGTCAGCCTGGAGGCCATCTGGGCAGCGACGTCAGCTGCGACCTGTGAAGCCAGTTAGCCTCAGAGGCAGCCCTGAGCCTAGGAGCTCAGGGGGTTCAACCCATCCCCAGGCCCGCCCCCATTCCATTCCAGGCCTCGACCCTTCTTGGTGTGCTCCCGCCTCCTCCCTCTGGGGCCACCTTCTCCCTGGCTCCGCCCTCTGTTTTGTTTTCCCCAAACCGCTTCCCTTTCCCGGCACCGCCTGGCCCTTCTCTCCCTTCACGCCCAGGTCTCAGCCCATCTGTTCAATCTCCAGGGTCCCGGGTCCCGCTTAACTAAACAATAAGCCAGGGGCAGCCGAGAGGAGGGCCAGGGCGAGCTGGGCAGCACAGCTTTGAGGGAAGAGGAGGCAGAAGGCTCAAGGGGAAGCAAGCCTATGGAAATTGCAGCGATAACAAACGGGGCTAGAAAGTAGGGGAGAGGGAGGCTGGAGACCACCCTGCCAAGCCCTCTTGACTTTGTGTTCCTCCCCCAAAGGTCCCGTTATAAAACCTGGTCCAAGTTCTTGGTCGCTAGGCAGCTTCAGGGCAGACTGAATGGACAGTCGCAGAAGGTCAGTGAGGGTGGGGTGTCGGGGGGCAGTCTCAGCTATTGGCTGGTTCAGGACACTGCCCTGTTAAAAATTAAGGATGATTGATCACTAGTGCGAGAGTGCGAGTTCCCGTAAATCAGGATGGGAAAGGCCTGGGACAGTCTGGGTCTGGCACTGTGAGCCAGGCTAGTAGTTTAGCCTGATCTCCCCTCTCGGAGTGGGGTGGAAGTGGGAGTAGGATGCGATGGGACGGGGTGGGGAAGCTTAGTGCAGCTCACAGGGATGCAAAACCAACCTGTGTTTCATGGAGCAAGATAAAAAAGCAGAAGAAATGCAAAACTTGCCCCTTTACAAGAGATGAGTTTTTTTGCTTTTGTTTTCTTTTGGATAAATGGACAAAGTAACTCTGGAAATAGGCCATTTGATAGTTAAGACATCAAGTCTTAGAAACAGTTAATGTCTGGCCTTTCCATTGCCGTCGTTTGGAGATACGCCAGGCTTGGGCTTAAGTGTCCTAAAGTCCCAGCTTCGGCCTCCTCCCTATCGTATATATCATGAGTCGTTCTAAGTTTGAGAGCTAGGAGTCTGAGGCTCCTAGCTGAGCCCAGGTTTCAGTCCCTAGCGCCACAACAAAGCGAAACAATCACAGAAACCGACAACTCAAACACAGCAACAATCCCAAACCAGCAAACAAAAATCAAATCCTGATCTCTATGTATTTATGGTTGGGTTGTCACAATAAGCCGGTTTTGTGAGACCCTGGCAAGGAGGAACCCAGTTATATATGAATTCTAAGTAAATCCTATGCAATCTTGGAATATGCTTATGATAAAATTTTCACCATTGTTGTGTATCTAAAATTTAAATTTGACTGTATTTTATGTGCTGAGTCTGGCAGTCCTATGTCCTCTGCAAAGCAAGGCTGCTCTCTCTGGTAACATGATATAGATATGAAGTTGTGTGACTGTCTAACTACAGGCCTGACCCCTACCTGGGTTTGCCTTCTTTAGGAAAGTCTGTGGTTGGCACCAGATCCAGTGCTCACAGAAACTCGAAAGACAGGAGCAGGAGAGAGGAACACTCATATGGCTCCCAAAAGACCTTAGAAAAGACCCTGAGTTTGACCTGGCTCTGCGCTCCATTTTCTTGGAGAGCTCCTAAACCTTAAAGAAGTGCCATAATATAAGTGCCATCCTTTGAAAAGTTTCCTGCAAAATTCAAGCTGTCGTTATTTTTTTCTGCTGTGTAGTACTCCATTGTGTAAATGTACCACATTTTTCTTATCCATTCTTTGATCGAGGAGTATTTAGGTTGTTTCCAGATTCTGGCTATGACGAACAAAGATGCTATGAACATAGTTGAGCACATGTCCTTGTGGCATGATTGAGCATCCTTTGGATATATACCCAAAAGTGGTATTGCTGGATCTTGAGGAAGGTTGTTTCCTAGTTTTCTGAGAAATCGCCACACTGACATCCAAAGGGGCTGTACCAGCTTTCATTCCCACCAGCAATGCACAAGTGTTCCCTTTATCCCACAACCTCTCCAGCATAAGTTGTCATCAGTGTTTTTGATCTTGGCCATTCTTACAGGTGTAAGATGGAACTCAGAATTGTTTTGATTTGCGTTTCTCTGATGACTAAGGATTTTGAACATTTTCTTAAGTGTCTTTCAGCCATTTTAGATTCCTCTGTTGAGAGTTCTCTGTTTAGGTCTGTACTCCATTTTTTTAAATTGAATTATGTGATCTTTTGGTGTCCAATTTCTTGAGTTCTTTGTAGATTTTGGAGATCAGACCCCTGTCTGATGTGGGGTTAGTGAGGATCTTTCCCCATTCTGTAGGCTGTCGTTTTGTTTTGTTGAATTTGGTCACTGTTAAGTAAAAGTAACAGATATACACAGCTAGTAAGAGTTAAAAACAAGTGTTGACCACATCTGGCTGGTGAAATCCTTGGAGTTACTAACCCATGCTAGGGCCTGTCTATAGTAGTCAGCAGATCCTGGGGTCACTTCTGATGCCCCAACACTTTCAGGCTGAAGTTACAGCGGAGAAGCAGAGAGGTTTTCTCTGGTTATAGATCTCTTTCCTGGAATATTTTGGCCACCACTGTCTGTGTACCCTGGGCATTCACGGGGTTTCTGCATTGCAGCTGTGTTCTTGTCTGATGAAGCGGGAGCTGCAGCTGACTAAGTCACCACATTTACGGAATTTCTTCCTAGTGTGGATGAGCATTTATCCAGCTGGTGTAAAGTTGTGACTTCAGTCCTTCCCTATAGGAGGCAGGCGTTTATGCTTTCCGTACTTGTCTGTGCTTTGTATGACGGAGCTTTGTCTCTGGTTTCCTAACACACGCTCCTGTCTGTGGAAGCCGTGGTGTTGACAGCCACAAGTAAAAGTCTGATGTGGGTCCCTGGTGTCACCGTCACCACAGATGATCTCTGCACAATACTCTCTCCGTACATGGATGTTTTCCTCCGTAGCTCCACAGAGACTGAGCCTGGAACCCTTGCCCTTGAGTGCTCATCCACAACCCTCCTGCTAAACTCCTATTCTTTTCTTCCTGGCAGTCTCCAGCTGGTACCAAGAGGTGGACAGAGACGAGGAGTAAAGACTGGAAATTAGATCCAAATATTTGTGGAGACACAAGCTTTCCAATCCTGGAAACCCCAAAGGACCTCGTTTGTAGCACCAAACTTTTCAGAGTAGAAGAGAAGCCTTTGATGACTCCCTTTATGGACATTCTGCATTGGCCCATTCATTTATCTAAGGATACTTTAGTCTTTCAAAGTTATCAGCACAGTATCATGTATGTGCCTTGTAAGACTTTAAACAAGCCAGACATTTACAAAATTAAGTCATTACAGATGCCTTTTAACCACTTCAAGTGTGTTCTTCCAGGATTTCATAATGTGGGATTCCCCTCTGTATACTGTGAATACCATTGTTTTAGTCTTTGTTGTAGAATAACGGTTTTGTACACTGTGAAGATGTGTTTTTGTTAAGGCACCTTCTGATAGTTTAATAAAGAGTTGAACAACCCATAGCTAGGTAAGAGGGGAGAGATAGGTGGGATTTCCTGAAGAGAGGGGAACTCTGGGGAAGAGTCTGAGAGGTGGGGAATTTGCCAGTGAGATGGAGGAAGTCGATGTACAATACCAAGGAGAGGTAACTGGGCATGTGGCAGAATGCAGGTTAATGTAAACAGGCTAATAAAAGTTTGCTTTTATAAAAAATATGGAATGCGTCACAGATTTGCATGTCATCCTTGAGCAGGGGCCATGCTCATCTTCTGTGTATCGTTCAAATCTTAGTGTATGTGCTGCCGAAGCAAGCACACTAATTTAAGCTTTAAGAGCTAGTTGGGAACAAGCCTAAGCTAAGGACGAACCTTTATACTTAATAACAAGTCTCTGTATCATTATTTGGGAGCTGGTAGTCCAAGAAAGTTTGACTATACTTTGTATTTATTATCTATAGTTGTGATAAAACACAACAATCAATTCAATTTATAGTTGTATACCCCCTTGCCTGACTCATGAGCTTATTTTTGAAACTAAGCATGTTTGTGGAATCACTTAGAAATTGTTTTATTTTCTGGTGAATTGTGTCGTAGGCCACATGTTGAGGTGACATCTGTTGGGGTCCAGCCTCGACAGAATTCGCACGGTCCAGGGTAGGAGAGTGAGGATTAGAATTATTAAGCAAAAGGAACAGAGATAGGAGAGAAATAAGAGACAGAAACACAGAACAGCATCGGGAGGGATATCCAGTGAATACTGATTTTGTTTACCTTCCACATGCTTATATACTCCACTCCAAAAGGGGACGGGGGAGGCAACAGGATAACTTCATTAACATGACAGACTTGATTTCTCCAACCCTTGGTCAAGGTGGAGCGGATCCACCTCTAAACCCAAAATACTAATCAACCACACCCTCGGTCAGGATCTCTTGTTTGTAGCCACACCTGTTGGGAACAACTTTGAGCGAGAGTAAGCTCAAACTCCCTTACCTTTAGTCAATGTGGAGCAGACTCACATCTGAGGGCCCTGGCAGAATGGCTGTCTAGAGCCTTCAACTTTCCATCATTTAAAACTACTTACGGGGAAATACAGTTCAGAAAGAAAATTCCATAGGAATGAACACAGGGTTGAATCAAAACGATAAAGGTGACATCAATGAGCCCTTACTCTGACTAACGAGCAGGATGTCATCAACACTCCAGCAGTTCCCATCAGTCACCATGTCCAGTGCTGTAGGCCACCACCATCCTAATGCTGTTGTGAATATCCTCCTTCTTCTTTCCCGCTTCTCTCCTCTTTCTCTCTTCTACCCCCCCCCCCCCATGATGATGGAGATTAAATCCAGGGCCTGTGTGGTAGACAAGCACGCCACCACTAATTTACATTTCCAGCCCATGGATGTTTGTGGCAAAGTCATCTTCAGTAACCCTGGTTGGTCCTCAGACTGACTGACTGTCAACTCGGTTGACCTTGAAGTGATTCTCTTCCACTCCCCGACACCGAGAGTACAGGCAGATACCACTACGTGCGATTTGGCCCTTGAGTTTTTTCAGACAGGGTCTCCCTATGTAGGCAGGCTGGCCTCAACCTCCCAAGCCTCCTGCTTCTGACTCCTAAATGTTGGACTTAGAGGACTGCACCATTGTGCCCAGTTTATGCAGTGCCAGGAACCAAATTCAGGGCTCTATAAATGCTAAGCAAGTACTGTCCACTGAGTTATACCCCCAGCCTTCACTTTGAGGTTTGTACCACAACGTGCATTCCTAGATATCTGACTTCTTTCACCAAAAAACTACACATTAGTACATGTATGTTCATGTGAATATATATGTGTGGGGGTGGACACATCAAGGCCGTAGGATAACTTCAGGTCGTGTTCCTAAGGAACCATGCTCCCTTCCCTGCCCGCTTGGAGCTAAGCCCCCTGGCCAGTGAGCCCTGTGACCGCCACGACTCTTCCTCCCTAGTGCATGTGCCTCCAAACGGGGTTCGCTCTTAAATTGTTTTCTCGCTTTTCTTCTTAAAAATTAATTTTAAAAAACATGTGTGCATGCATGTGCATGTGTGTGCGCCTGCAGAGATGAGAAAAGTGCACCATAATCCCCTGGGACTGAAGCTACAGGGATGAGCTGCCCAACATGAATGCTGGGGACCAAATTTGGGACTTGGGTGCTGAGGACAGCTTGAGAGAGTTAATTCTCTTCTTCCAGGCAGATCTTGGGGATCAAACTCCGGTCATCAGTCTTGGCAGCAAGTTCCTTTACCCCACTGATCCATAATTGGCCCCATGCCCGTCTTTTAAAAAGTCAGGCCCTCATGTTTGCGAGGCAATCACTTTACCAACTGAGCCATCTCCCTAGCCTGGCTGTCTTAAAAAAAAAATCAGCGATTACAGCACGTGGCTGTGGTTTATTTTCATTTCTGCATAGTTTGCAGTTACATTTCTTCTTTTTAGCTTTGAAAAAGTGGACGCTCCCTATGTTTCTCAGGCTAGCCCTCAGCTTCTGTGCTCAGTCAGTCCGCCTGCTTCATCTTTTTATGGGTCACCGGGATGAAACTACCTCAGAGCTGGGCTGTGGATGCACGCCTACACCTTGTTAGTTTTCAGTTATCTCAGCGTTCTGCAATTTTATCTCTTCTACCGTTGACAGATATTTGGGTTGCTGGCAGGTGCAGCCTGTTTTGCGCAATGCTACTCTGGACATAACTGTCTTCAGTCTGTTTCTTTGGGGCTTGCCCACAGGAGCATCACGGCTAAGAGATGGTACTTAGCATCAGCTCCACTGACATTTCCAACATGTCTGCCAGTTTACAAAGCAGTGTGATCATTCTTTTTATTTTTCCCTCTTTTCCTTTCTGTATTGTCTCAGGCCAGCCTTGAACCCTTGATTTTCCTGTCTCTGCTCACCAAGTGCTAGGATATTTGTAGTCTATCACAACTCCCAGCTAAATTTGTTCATAGTTTGAGTTCTCTTTCAAGACAGGATTTCTCTGTGTAGCGCCTGAGTGCCAAGCTACTCTCAAATGGAGATTTTCCCGTTCCAGCCTTTCCAGTGCTAGGCTTACCGCTATATGCTACTACAGCTGGTATTAGCAACGGTGCATTTTATATTTTCACTTGGTGTGACTGTGTTCTGCTATTTGGTCAAGCATTCTAGAGGAGTCTATCAGGGTGATTTAAAAAAAATTATATTTATTTATTTATTTTGAGGCAGGGTCTCACTGTGGAGCACTAACTGGCCTGGAACTTGCTATGTATAGTAAGGTGGCCTCAAATTCACAGAGTTCTACCTGCCTCTGCATCACAATGCTTGAACTAAAGGTATTTTTTTATTCTTTTAAAAGACTTTTATTTATTTATTATGTCAGTGTTCTGCCTGCATGTACGCCTGCAGGCCAGAAGAATGCACCAGATCTCACTACAGATGGTTGTGAGCCACCATGTGGTTGCTGGGAATTGAACTCAGGACCTCTAGAAGGGCAGTCAGTGCTCTTAACCCTTGAGCCATCTCTCCAGCCCCTACATATGTTTATTTATTTGTGTGTACACGAATAAGCCAGAAGAAAGCCTGAAAAAAATGTGGATCACAGGGATGGAACTTGGCCCACTGAGCCATCCAGTCCAGGGTGGTTTTGAGATGAGCGTCGCATTGGAGGACATTGAGTTGCCTCTCCATGATGTGAGATGGTCTCATCCAGTCCACCAAGGTACTAACAGAACAATCCCTGCACCCCCACCTCTCCAGCAAAGAGGAATTTTGCCAGGAGACTGCTTTTGGGTTAGCTTCCACAGTCACGTGAGCCAATTCCTTAAAATAAAATTCTTTTCTATATATACACATCCTGTTAGCTCTGTTTCTCTGGAGAAACATGACTAATACAGGCCAAACACTCAGGCTCAATATTATGTGCCGTCCCGACAGCTGGAGACTATCAGGGAGCTTCCAAAAGCAAGATCCCCTTCCCTTCTGTCCCCTCGGGTAAGGCCTTAGCTGATAACCTTCCCTGTCAAGGGTATCAGGTACATTCCTGCCTATCACTGAGCACTAGATTTCAGTTCCCTGGCAGCCTGCAGAATCAGTCAAACAAGAACCATCCCAGACTCTGTTATGATGTCTGAATCCCACCGCCCCTCGCTTTTATTCTGTTCCCGAGAGCCCAGCCCCTGTGTGGTTCACTGTGACATGTGTTACTCTCGTTGTTAGATGTGTGTTGTTCCTTGAGAACAGCCTATATGTGGCTAATCAGCCCCTGCTAGTCTTATTTGTCCGGTGTCTGGTAGTGTACGTTAGAGCATCCTCTAAGTATAGGGTGAGAATCATCCCCAGGGTGAACAGGAAATGCCTGGGCCAAAAGCTGCTCTTTCTTGGGATTGGAGAGCCGGCTCTGTGGTTAAAGCACTTGCTGAACTCACTCTAGGTGCTCTTGACCACCTGTAACTCCAGCTCCAGGGGGTCCAGTGCTCTCCTTGGGCCTCCATAGGCACCAGTGCTCATGTGCACAGCACAGACACACATGTGGACGTAAAAACCACACCTCAAAGACCGCTTATTCTGGTGCCACTTTGAGTGGAATACAGATTTATTTATTCATGATATACACAACATTCTGCTTCCTTGTATGCCTGCAGGCAAGAAGAGGGCGCCAGATCTCATTACTGATGGTTGTGGGCCACCATGTGGTTGCTGGGAATTGAACTCAGGACCTCTGGAAGAGCAGCCAGTGCTCTTAACCCCTGAGCCATCTCTCCAGCGCTGGAATGCAGATTTAAAATACTGCAAATTACATGTTCTAACATGGAAGTAGTTTCACAAAGTTCTTTATAGTTTTACAGAATAGAGGAGGTCGTTAATCAAGATGACTTTAAATTGCCCTGGTGGGCACACCTGATGGGGAAGCTCAGCCAGTCACGTCTGGCTAGGGTGTGGCTGCCTGGATCCAGGCAGATAAATGAGGGGGTGGGGGTGGGGGGTATATAGGTGCTCGGGGCGCTTTTGGGCTTCGGACCTTCTACTCTGATAGCGTGAGCTTCCCCGTTTTCAATTATTAAATTATATCTGTTGTTTTGAGCTGGTCTGGTTATTTAGTGTACTGATCAAATACGCCAACACTTACACACACCAGAGCGGCAGACACGCGGAGAACGGGGAAGCTGTTTTCACAGGCCTAAGCTGTGATCGGATGGTGTCCTTAGCTTGGGGACTGCTGGAAGCCCGTGTTCCACTGTTTCGTTTATTATCGCGAGGCGTTAGTCAGCCACAGAGTGGGGTGAGGACTGGCTGTTCAGAAAGGCTGAAACTATCTCCAGATAA